GTTTCTCAAAACATTTTCTCTCCATTTAAACCCCCGACATTGAGTCCTAATTTTTCCCCTCCCTTCCCGCTCCCCCCTCCCACATGAAATATAGTTCTTTTAAAAATTGTGTTTCAGATGAAAATGTACAGAGCAAATTGGGTTTCCTTTGAACAATTGTTCCATGACACTGGTTACAGTTTTACAATGTGTAGTATTCTCATTGTTTCCATTCTGTTGCCATTGATCCAACTTCCCTTACCTCTTCTCCTCTTTCTTTTTTTTTCCCCCTCTTTCTTTTTAGATAAACTTTGACTGGTCTATTGTAGTTGATTGTGTGAGGGAGCACATTGCTCATGGGTGATATTATTTTATTAGCCAATGTATTGTTTGCCTCCAGAAATAGCTTTAGTTCCAAACTCAAATGGTATTTTAAGGACATAGTCTCAAGAGTCTTCTAACATTTATTGATCCAATAGGTCTGGACTTTTTTAGGAATTTGAATTTTGTTTCACAGTTTTCTCCCACTATTGTGACCTTGGGCAGAATGGTTGGTAGTGGTAGCCTGGCACCATCTAGTTCTTCTGGTCTCAGGTTAGAAGAGGCTGTTGTTCTTATGGGCTGTTAGTCCTGTGGATGAGTTTCTTCCTTGAACCTTTGATTTTCTTCATTCTGTTTTGCTTCATATGAGATCTCACTGTCATTGAGTCGATTCTGACTCATAGCAACCTTTTGGAAAGAGAAGAACTGCCGTTTTGGATTTCCAGGACGTGAAACTTTTATAGGAGCAGACAGATCGTCTCATCTTCTGTGGAGTGGCTGGTGGGTTCACGTCACCGACCTTGCAATTGCCAGCTCAGTGGGTAGTCTACTATGCCAGAGACCAATAATTGTATCTTTGATGGCTGCTTACAGATGCTACTCACCCAAGTAGGATGGAGCATGTTATCTTTATGAAATGTGCTATGCAAAGTTACTGAACTTTGTGCCCTGAGTTACTTTGTGCCCTGATTTGTCCCCTGAGACTGTGGTCCTATGTCTTTTAACTCAATGAACTGATCTTGTTACTTACCATATACACTCAAGTATAAGCTGAGTGTTTCAGTGCATTTTTTATACATTTTTTGGTGGTAAAATTGGGTGCCTTGGTGGATATTCGGGTTGGCTTATACTGGAGTATACACGGTATTTGGATATGTCCAGAATGGTTCCATAACTATGTCATCTGATGTGTTTTGCCATATATGATGGTTATAGGTTATACAGGTATATGAGGGGTCCTCAAAAAGTATGTGGAAAATGCATATTATGAAAAAAAACCCCAACTATGCATGCATCCCCCCCCAAAAAAAAAACCCCTCATACTAACTTTTTGTTAACATGTCTGAAAAGAATCTAGTTTGAATCACTAAGAAGGATAAGACATCACTTTGAAAAGAACCATCAGAGCAACATGAATTCTGCTAAAAATCAAAGCAAGAACCAAGGCTCAAATTTATGGTGAAGCCTGGGTAGAAGAATGGTGAAATCATTGATGCTTTACAGAAAGTTTGTGGGGAGAGTTTCCCCAGTGAAATCTATGCTTACAAATGGGTAACTCATTTTAAGAAGGGACAATGAAGATGATAAAGATGAAGCGCGAAGCAGCTCAATTTTCAAGCAGATGAATTTTCAAGGAAAACTTATTCTGGTTTGTGCCCTAATTGAGGAGGACTAATGCTTAACAAGAGAATCAATAACCAACACCTTAGACCTCTAAATTTGTTCAGATTACATAATTCTGACTGAAAAACTAAAGTTAAACAAACCTACTGTACTGCTCTTTGGGTTCTGAAACTGTTGTGTCCAGATCAGCTGCAGATTTGGGGGATGCACAAGGCATTTTGCTTGTTGACTTTCTACAAGGCTAACGAATGATCACTTCTGCTTACTACGTTTTGAGAAAGTTAGCCAAAGCATTTAGCAGAGAAATGTTTAGGAAAGCTTCGCCAGAGAGTACTTCTCTATCCTGGTAGTATTCCTGCTTATTCCTCTCATTAAACAAGGGCAATTTGCAAGAGCTCTCATGAGAAATTATTAGGCATCAATTTTCTTTCTTTTCTTTTTTTATCATTTTACTGGGGGCTCATACAGCTCTTAATCACAATCCGTACATCCATCCATTGTGTCAAGCACATTTGTACATGTTGCCATCATTGTTTTCAAAACATTTCTTTTTACTTAAGCCCTTGGTATCAGCTCTTCATTTTCCCCCTCCCTCCCCCACGCTCCCTCCCTCATGAACCCTTGATAATTTATAAATTATTATTATTTTGTCGTGTCGTACACTGACCTTTCACCCACGTTTCTGTTGTCCGTCCCTGTGGGTGGGGGCGTTATATGTAGGTCATTGCGGTCAGTTCCCCCGTTCTACCTGCACTTTCCCCTTACCCTCCTGGTATGGCTACTCTCAATATTGGTCCTGAGGGGTTTATCTGTCCTTGATTCCCTGTGTTTCCAGCTCTTATCTGTACCCATGTACATGCTCTGGTCCAGCTGGATTTGTAAGGTAGACTTGGGGTCATGATAGTGGGTGGAAGAGGAAGGATTAAAGAACTAGAGGAAAGGTGTATGTTTTCATCATGCTATGCTGTACCCTGACTGGCTCATCTCTTCCTTGTGACCCTTCTTGTAAGGGGATGTCCAATTGTCTATAGATGGGCTTTGGGTCTCCACCCTGCACTCTCCCTCATTCA